CGGATATAATGCGTTTGCATAAATGTGCATAATGGAATATTTGTTTTAAAGGAAACTTTGGGGGAAAATTTTGTTTTAAAATTTCTTGATAATTATTAGATATTATTGGTATATGAATATATATAACTATCGAGAATTTAATGATACGTGTATTATATTATATCCATATAATCATTTGTAATCTGCAATGAGTTACTAAGTGGATAATTATAATCATTTATGTACGATGAACAGTCAATGGATTGACGTTAGTCACTCGATACAATGAAAGGTTTATAATATGCATAATTGTAGAACATAGGATGCGAATAATTAAATAATAATCTTACCTCGTTCTTTTCTGCTAATAGAATGCCATTGATTATCGCAATCACCAATATGCTCACAGTTACACATGTGTAAAAATATCCACTCCTAAAAAAATAATTTCTATATTTTAATTTAAATATTCCTTTTTACTTGCATTTTAAAAAATTTTGTGTGTATATTTCTGAAGTGAATTTAATATTAAATTATTGATCGAAATTAATTAATTAATTTTTTTTATTTAAATAATAACTTTAATATTACATATAAGCTTTTAAAAACTTTCGAAAATGGATCAAATGAAATTTTTTTTCATGAGAAAAAAATTGATCGATGAAGTAAATATACGACGAATTAACTGAAAGTCGGTTTGATTGATAGATTGCAACAGAGGAGAAAAAAAAAAAAAATGTTAAAAAAAGAAAAAGTAAAATTTATTCAAACTGTCTTGTTTACCCATATAGAGTGATTGCTATAGCAATCACGACCACCATGTACACGAAACCGGAACAGACGAAATATGCTGACAGCATTCTATCCCTTTCACGTGAATACTATAACAGATAATCGCAATCGTGTATGTACGAATACGATTAATATAAATAAATAAAAATATTCTTAAATATTATAAATTCAGTCTTGAGTGAAAAAGGATAAAAACGGGATGAAAATTGGTGAAAAAATGGATATAAATATAATATAGAAAAAAATATTGTACAATGTTGAGAATGCAAAGCTTTGAAGTTTTTTAATAGATGAATAAATAATTGTGTGTGAATAGAGACAAAAGAATATCAGTAATACAATCTTTAAATCAAAGAAATCGTTAGATAAATTTTAATAGACATCGTCTTTGTGCTTGGTTATAAAATCTACAAATATACACAAATGTTAATACGCATTAGCATACAAACTCATTAAGTTTTAGAAATTCGTTTTCAGATAAATGTGGACCTTATGCATCATTTTCCTCAGTTAACTCCTTTCCAGCAAAAAATTCTCTTGTATTAATTTTCCACTGATTTAATTTAATCTGATTATTCAAGAAAGCATATGATTGCCTGAATATTTTATATATGCAATTTTTGAGATATAATTTTTGAGTACAAATTTGTGAAATATCGATCTCGGATTCGAATAATTTTAAGACTTGTATTTTTAAAATTGAATGAATTTAAGTTTACCTTCTCCTCAACATTGGGGCTACGAAAAGTTAGGATGAAAGGAGTGCAATATTCTGTTCTTAATTGATCTATACTCCTGGCATCGATCGCCCTCATCAGATACTCGTTCACCTCGTCTTCAGGGTCTTTTTTTGCCTCTGTCGTCTCTCCAAAGCCTAATCTATTATAGAACGAACAATCGATATAAAAAAAAAAGATTCGATATAAAAAAAAAATTTATCAAAAATTGTTTATTTTCTTAATTTTAATTTTTTATTTAAAAATTATAAGATAACTTATCTCTTCAAATTTCACGATTTCACAAATTTTAACTTGCAAATAAATCATTTTCAACTTGTATATATAATTTATTTAAAGATGATAACCTACAGTAACCTATTTTATAACTAAATTTAACACAAATTAAAAACGAGCAGGCAGCCGCCATGCGGCTATCGCTGCCCCGACCTTTGATCAAAACTTTAATCTAAAAAATTACAAACTTCGTAATTTAAAAATTACAAATTTGAAAATTCATCATCCAAAATAAATTATCATCAATTCCCATTAAAAAATATTGAATAATATCGGAATTCTGAATAATTCAAAATTGGCAAAAATTTCACATTTTTTTTTCCTTTCTTTCGAGGGAAGAAATTAAAAATGGAATGAGAGGAATAAGGATGAATCACTCACTTGTTCTGTTTCCCGTGTTGAGACCCATGCCCCATTACTCTCATCTCTTTGGACACGTTCCCATTCGCGGGCAAACCCTTTCTCAATCCTGAAGAGGGTATGTTACCCCTACATGTATCCCCAGGGACGATTAGGTACGTTTTGATATTGTGCTCCTTCAGGTACGCGTTCCTTTCACCCCCGTGACCCTCTTCCACCTCGTAGAAATCATCCAGACAGTCCAGGGTCTCTTTCGTGATGTGGACTCGTCTATGGAGAAATTATAATGAATCATGTAATGAAGATTTACATCTCTAGAGATTTAATTTTAAAAATGTATTGAACGTTCAAATGGATTCCAATTAATATGAAATTATCGAGAATTAATTTTAAATCGACGTTTTCATAAATTGATATTATTATTATCAAAAGAAACAGTGTCGTTGAAATATTTATCTTTTTGGATAGTTTTAAAATTTTGGAAAAGTTGAATTCGAGTTTTGTATCTTGTGTGGTTTGATAAAAGATGTGTAATTTGTTGATAAAAAAAATCAACAAGAAACATTATAAAAATATATTTCTTAAAAATAAGTAGATATCGCAAAGATTTTCTTATCGTATTTTCATTTAATAAAAAATCGAACATTCGATAAAATGCATCTGTTATTCACGACTCGATGAAACAGAATATTTAACAGATATGGAATTTCATCAAGTTTCACGGTAAAATAAAATTAAAAGTTTAAAAATTTAAATCTCGTTATCCCTCTCGAAAAGAAAAAAAAAAAAGAAAGAAAGAAAGAAGCGAAACGAACCGTCGCGTATATTTCGCGATAAATATTCGAATTCCTCGTTTCGAGATTTTTTCGTTTCGAGAATTTTTTTCCTCCCGAAAGAAAAAGAAGCGACAAAAATATTTCGCTCAATGTTTCATCTCTCGTTTCAACATTCGTTCGAAATCGCATGAAAATTTTCTTAAAAAAAAAAAAAAGAAAGAAAGAAAAAAAAGAAGGAAAAACTCACCCCGGTATCCCCCCGCTCTCCATATAGTTAGCCAGAGTGACATCGTTGCTCCACACGTCGAATTGCCATTTCCTCAAGCCAAGAACCCCGCAATGAACCCTTCCAGTGTGTATTCCCACTCTCATGTTCACGTTCACTGCGCCCACCTCTCGATACAGCCTATAAGAGGAGAAAAGAAGAATCGATTGTTTTAGAAATAACGCCTGTAGAGATTATTACACTACGGATTATATTTATATTGCTGAATAGTATGAGAGAAAAAAAATATAAACTGTAAATAAATCATAAACTTTGAAATTATAAATTTCTTCATCATTTTCGAAATTATTTGATTAGTTTATTTATACATTGGAGTGCTATATTTTTATAATTTAAATTTAAAAATTTTTCCAATAATCCACAAATATTTTAACCGAAAAAAATATTTAAATATTCATTCTTCAATCATATTTGATCAAAAGTTTCTTTAGTTTTTTCGTGACTATGGAGAGTTTCAAAACGAAATGGTTTTTATTTAGTGGAAACGCCGCATCGAGGCGCTTCCGTCGCATTTTCGACGAAATGACCGGAAAAAGGTTAGGGAAAGCGTTCTAAGAGCAGGAAACAATAAATGAAAGTAGCCCGTGGAGACGAGAATTCTCCGGTTTATAGGTTTGCTTTTGAAAAACACTAAGTTCCGTCAAAGAAATGATTTCCTTCGAGAATAAAGTGCCATTTGTGCTCGTGTTTCGAAGACGAATAGATCGAGAAATACCATAACGATTTATGACAATATATAACGATTATTACGAAACGTGAATTCTTTGTAAAAAGAAATAATACATCTCTAAATAAAAAAATATTCATAGAAACATTAGTAACTTATCGCTTTGTTCAAAATAAAATTTCAACATATGTTATTCTTCTATCGTGCATCGTTATTTTTACAACTAATTACGAATAATGGAAATTGGATCAGGTGCTAATTCGCTAATTTAGAAGAGGAAACGGAATGGTTCGCGTTGGATTACCAGAAAAAAAAAAAAAGAAAAATAACAAAAAAGAAAGAAAAAGAATTCGATGCATCAGAAAATTAGTAGGACAGAAGACTCACGTAATGGCGCTAATCATGTCCAAACCCATTTCCACGCAACAACGCGCGTGATCTGGCCTCGGTTCAGGAAGTCCGGAGACGCAATAATAGCAGTCACCGAGTAATTTGATTCGCAGACAATGGTGCTCAGCTGCCAATGTGTCGAAGCTACGAAAATTTACATTTCGCATTAACAATTGATATTTATTAAAATTATACACATTCTTTCAATATTCGTGAAAATAATTAAATTTATATAATATCCATTTGGCAATTTAGAAATAATTTAAAAGGGAGGATTAAATTATTTATTTATAAGGGAAAGGAAATAAAATTTTCAATAATTATTGTCTATCAAATTATTTAACATCGAATATAGAAGATAAATAAATTTTGAATTTGTTTTATTCCTCGAATACATTAATACTATAATAATAATATAATTTTAATATTTTTGCGTATTACGTGCGTTCCCTACATTTTTGTACATTCAAATTTCACATAAATGCATAAATATCCAATTATCATTATCGAATAATGATTACACGATAAAACTTACTGTCGTGCAATTATTGTTGAGCATAATACAAATATAAATATCGAATCGAATCTTCAATAAATTTTCTATCCAATTTTACAACAAGCATATATTATCGTTAATAACACCAAAAAAGAAAAAGAATTAAAAGAATTAATTCCTCTTAATCTAGAATATAGACTATGGACAACGATACTAACCAGGCGAATAATTTATTCAATAATTTGACAACCTCCTCGGCAGTGCATTGATCCGACAAGGAAGTGAATCCACAAATGTCGGCGAACAGGATGCTGGAAAACGATTACCAAGATGTATTCTTCTCGGTTAGGTTCCGGTAAGTGGTATTTAAGTCACGATGTTAATTAGAATTCGTTAGGTGTACGTCGTGCGACTTAACGAGACTCGAGTGGCAGATACGTGTTACTTTAACGTGTGATAGACGCGTGCACCAGTCTGGTGCATAATGATGCTGAATATTCAGTTGCTGGCCTGGTTATACGCATATACCGCATAATAATTCACCGAATATTCATCCCCCCTATTATATCTGTATATATCTCGTTTATTTATCATGTATGATTACTTATTACATGTTTCTTCCATTACAAATACAATTCTTCAATCTTCCTTATTATTCGTTATATCGAAGTCATAATTTCTTTCTTCTTTCTTCTTTCCAAAGTATCTTGATATTTTAAGCTTCGAAAAATTTTGAAAAAAAAAATCCTTACAAAGATTTGAAAGAGCTGCTCATTAATATTTCTGCTATTCAGATTTCTCGAATATTATTGTTAAGAGGTTTTTTTTTTTCGAAATTCACGTCCAAATGGATCTAAAGGGATTGGATATTATATACGTGTGTGCAATTCGAAAATTTCTCGAGTATTATTGTCAAGATTTTTCCAAAATTTCACTCGTAGAATATTAAAAAAGATTGAAGATTGTATAATATGTTTGATTTATTTCAATAGATTTCCAATAGAATGTTATATCTTTAAAATATATACCTTATCATACTTAAAAGATATTTTCGAAATTTTATTTCTAAATCTACTCAAGAATACCGTATTAGGATAACACGGATAAAACTTTTCCAAAATTTTTCTAAAATTCCAAACTTGAAAAATTTCTATAACAATATTTGAAACTTGGAAATCGACGCGTCCAACAACGAAAAGAACAATTAGATAAAACAGTTCTCTGCTCGACAAACGAAACTCGATACTCTCGACGCCTTTATATATACATACTATATCGTTGTATCAGGATATTTTGCCCTCACCTGACGTTCTCGTGCCTCTGAATGTAAATTTTGTGAAACATGGTATCCTTTGGCTTCCCCGCGATGTCAGCTTTCATCTCCATGGCTACGTGGCGCGGCAGCACGCTCAATAGAAGCCTTTCCTGAAAAAAAAAAAAAAAAAAAAAAAAAAAAAAAAAAA